TATGTGTGTAATTAAAGTATGCTGATTATTAATATGTAACTTTTATTCAAATTGAATGTATATTTTTAAAGTTACAGTACATGTATAAAAAGTATATTTTTCCTGCCTGTGATAATTACACTTTAACCCATTCTGTTTAGTGTTTATATCACAGGCAGAGGGGAGTGTTTGTGTGTAATTTCTGGGAGTGTTTTATTGTAATGTACGTATTTTATTGGCTGTTTTACAAAACCCTGTGGGTGGTAATATGTTTGTATGGGCATAAAAGCAGAGTGTTTGATTAAAACTTCAGTTATTCTTCACCCTCAATCTGAGTCCTGTCTCTTATTGGGGGAATCTGCTGCAAGGGATTGCTATGCTCGTCAAACTCTCTTGCTTTAATCACTGAGCTCTTGTAAGAGCTGTTCTGTTCCTGTTACGCTCTCTGGGGAAAGAGAGGTTCACCCTCTGGAAGCTGGATCCTGGCCTTGGGTCCAGGGTGGGTGGAGACGGCAAGACCCCGGCGCAGCTGCATCGCTGAAAGTGGGGTCTGGTGTCGGTTGGAGTGCTTAGAGCCCTCAGCGAGCACTAGAGTTTAGGAGTGATTATAGCAAGGGAATATGCAGAGCATATCAATCCCTTGTAGCAGATTCCCCCAATAAGAGACAGGACTCCAAATTGAGGGTGAAGTAGAACTGTCTAAAACTTTATTTTACTTGTGACTAGCCCATATGGTCATGGTAAAATTACAAAACCGTCAAATCATAGCAGGCAACATACAGTGACTTATTATAACATAATTACATATTTATAAATGGGTGGGGAAGACCATAATTAACACAAAATGTCTCTCCTGCATGCAGAATTAGCAATATGCAAATCTACCTGAATATGCAAATTACCAGTCTTGCTATTCAGGTAGTGCATATTACTGTTGCTACCAACAGAGGGCACTACACAAGCTCCATAGCCAAATCCATAGTTGGTAGCCATCCTCAGCACTACAGGAGAGCAGGCAATACATCCCAGGGGCCATAGTAACATGGCAGGAGGCTGGCAATCAGTCTTCTCCAATGCCCAGTGGCGAGGTTGGTTCCGCCACAGTTACACTATCCTCTACTTATATATGTTCTCGTTTCCTGCCCTTCAGCTGTCTGGATGTTTTTCCAACATACTGAAGGCCACACAGACATACAAGAACATATATAACATTTTTGGAATTACGTGTCAAACATTAATTAATCAAATATTTCTAATTTGTTACGTGAGCAAGAAAAAAATCTTTATTTTTAGTTTTATATTTTCTGTTTTTTCAACCTCTACAATCACAACAGTAATAAAATCCTTTTTTAGACTGTGCCAACTGATTCATTAAATTCGTATTTTCTTTCTCAATAAAATTAGTTGTTAAAAATTTAATTTAAAGATTTGTACTGCAGACACAGATTTGGTAGGAGAACCAGATTATTGGTTAAGCAAGCCAAACCACTGTCACAGTGAAAGCCTGGGAGATCGAGCCATGGGTTCTTGGGGAGTTCAGAGCATTTGTCTATTTATTAGTCATACTTTATTTTCTAGAGCATGGAGGGGTTTTGGAGAGAGTAACAAAGCTCCAAGGAACATGAAGAAGGCATACATAAGGAGAAATAGGTCCTCATGAAGATTCTCCAAGAAGGCAAGGCGAATCCCCAAGATGCACAAGACTAGGGACAACAAGATGCTTTCTCGATAGGCAGTCTTTCAGGAACATGTTACAACAACGTTTTGGCTCTTACTAGTGTGCATTTATCAAGCCCTCCAGTATCAAGAGAACATCAAGATGAATAAAATTCAATTATGGCCAAAATATTTCTTGTTTACAAATCCCAGTGGTACCATGGAGAAAGAAAATTGACATTATGAGTTTCCAGATTGCAAGACAGCCTGGAAGTCCAGTCTCAGTGATTATAATATTGATTCCACTGATTGTTACAGTTTTTCATCAGTGTTTCTATATTTTCAATCTGCGTTTATAGTTTTGAAGCTTTAATGTTACTTGAAAAAAGGCAATGTTTATTTGCCATTTTGATAATTTTTATGCAATATTTTAGTATGGAAAAGATGCGTACTTTTGATTATAGGATTACGAGGCGTTTTCGATACGATGGCATGAACGCAACGAGCGCACACATCGGGAGGCGGGGTCAAGGGGGACGAAAAGGATCGACGGCTGACTGTGCTCTGACTGCGCTCTGATGAATATACTGCCATGAGGAGATGGCGTTCTAAGGAAGAGGGAGCTTAAGTAGAAAATTGGATAGAACACGCTTACAAGCCTCATAAATATGCTGCATTGGATTCAAAACAAAGAAGTAGAAGTTGTTACAGAACACTCCTGAGTTCTCCCTCGAGACAACCTATTCAAAAGCAAGTACAACTATCTAAAATGGAAGAAAAATGGGTATTACTGGAATTCCAACATAAAACACTTCTAGAAGCACAAGAAAAAAATCAGTAATGAAGTAAAAAAATCTTGAACAGAGAATAAATGGACTGGAGGATAAACAAAGAATTAAAAACATCAGAGTCAAAAATATTCCAGAAAGCATCACACAGGAGAACACAACTGAGTATGTACTTGAATTTTTGACAGCTCTGGACGTTAAAATATTGAATAAGGAATACGCTATAGAAAATATATATCGGGTAAGAAAATCTCCCAATTTTCCGGAATCTAGTCCAAGGGACTTGGTTGTGATATTTTACTCCTGGCATGTGAAACAACAAGTAATGAAAGCTAGCAAAACAAAGAGAATTGAAGATGGAAGATTCAAAGATCTGATAGTCTATCAAGATATTTCTTCATATACAAGATCAAGGAGAAGATTATTTTTTTCTGCTTTGGCTCCGCTCAAACAACAAAATATAAGATATAGGTGGGGCCCTAATGGAACAGTCATATTATTCTGGAAAGACAACAAAGTAGTATTTCCTGAGCCAAAAGATCTTGAAAAATGGACTAAAGAGCAAATTATTTAATGTTATTGAGAAGTAGAACTATGAGCTAATTTATATTTAAACATCGAAGAAGAGCAGAAAGAGTATGAAGAAGAAAATGGAAGATTATAAGGACTTTTTTTTTCTCTTTCACTTAAATAACTAACACCAAAGTGATTAACTTTGATAAAATATATAGAAGTTTTGGTAATTATTATATAAAGTTAGAAAGGAAATACACAATAATCACGATTATAGAAATATAAGAACACAGGTGCACAATATTTTACTATAAATAAGATTGAGTTTAGGATTAAAAAGGTTTATATGAAATCACGAAAAAGTATCACTATTTGAATAATAATGGTATATCCACTGATAATAACGATTTATAGAATTGGGAATAGATCGGAAATAACGTGAGGAAAGATAAATTGGGCCTTTGGCCCCTTGAAATTTGTATTATAGTTGTGGTATATTATATTTTTTGGTATATTTATATTCTTTACTCATATCTCTCATATGAAAAGAGGAAAGAGCCATGTTTAACCTTTTGATATATTAATGTTTCTGTCAGTCCTGATCTTACCCTTTAAGTCCCGCTTGGAGATCCTTAATGAAATCTCATCTAGTAACATTATGAGAAATGTTAAGAGTCACATCAACGGAGGAATGTTTTCTCTTGTAGGTGTGGATAAGAATGGATGGAAATATCCCTATTATTATCCCCTTAAGGACACATGACGGAAATATTCCATCATGATTCCTTTTTATTCCAGAAGTTGTGTCCTTAAGGGGTTAAAGAAATTTCAGTTGTTGGATGAATGTTGTATGGTTGTATTCTGTGAAGGGGTAGGGTACAGGGAGGAAAGGGGGAAGGAAATAGGGAATTACTCTGAAGTGCATATCCATGAATATTCAGGGATAAATACCCCTTATAAAAGAAAACTCCTATCAGAATTACTTAAAAAAGAACAGATAGAAATAGCTATGATTCAAGAAACGCATTGGAAAAGGGAGGACAAAATAAGATGGAGATATGAACAATAAGCAGAGGTTTTACACGCATCTTTGGAAGGGGGAAAAAAGAGAGGAGTAGCTATTATTTTTTTCTAAAAAGATCAAAAAAGAAATTATACACTTAGAACTGGATGAGGAAGGTAGATATCTAACTTTAGTGTGTAAAATAGAATCAATAATATATACTATTGTTAAAATATATCTGCCTAATATCTTGCCTACAAAATACCTTAAAAAAATAATGGATAAGGTTGACAAAGTAAAAATGGGGATCCTAATAATTGTAGGGGATTTTAATTGTTTCCCAGATATTTCAGTAGACAAAAAATTAAGGATAATAAAAAAATAAATAGACAAATAAAGAAACAATAAAAAATTCTGGGAAATATTATGAGAGAGTGGTCTTATGGATACCTGGCGTGTTTTCTATCCCATGGAAAGAGAATATACTAATTTTTCTAGAGTTCATCAGTCTCTTTCCAGAATAGACTTGGTCTTGGGAGAACAGATTAAAAAAATAGAAATAGTTCCATGGGCGGATCATAGTTATAACATATTTAGCATAAAGGATAAAAAAATAAAAATAAACCCTTTAATACCTGGCGATTGGATGATAATATTATCTTAAAGAGGGAACATCAAAATCAAATAGGAAAACTCATTGAGTTATATTTCAAGGAAAACAAAACAGAAGGTATGTCATATTCAGTGATCTGGTGTGCCTTCAAAGCTGTTGTAAGAGGTTATTTGATAAAAATCAAAAGCCGACTAAATAGGGAATGGGGTGCAACTAGAGAAGAACTTTATATCCAATATTATAGAATCTCAAAAAATATGAAAAATCTCCTCACCAATGAAACAATAATACAATTAAAAGATATCAAAGAAAAGGGGGGCGTGGCCTGGACGTTGATGGCGCCAGTCGCACACTAGCCGAGCTCCTAGGCCCAAACCGCCATAATTAGCAATATACCCCCTTATATATAGCGATGGTGCGGACCAAGAAGCATACCGGCGCTGGGAGCATGCCACCGGGATCACCGAGACGCGGTACGGGCACCCTGGATGACTTCCTAAGCACCCCGGCCGGGCTCCGGGGCACGGCGCCCTCTGACAATATGGCGGCTGTCTCCCCCAGTGCAACTAGCGGGGGGGACTCCGTGCCCGACTTCAGCTCCGACGATGCCCTCCATGCCATCAGGGCTGAGCTCTCGAGGATAGGGAGCTGCATGCTCACCAAAGCAGACACGGGGGCCCTGGTCCGGGAGATAAGGGAGGCGGTCCGGGAGGATCTGCAGGGCCTCCGCACAGACCTCATGGCCCTCACGGAGCCACATGAGACACTATGCTTCGGACTGGAGCGGAGGACTGTGCCCTAGAGCGTGTGTCCGGTGCCGCTGGGGGGTGGGGGGGCTCTGGCCGCAGGGTATGCCCGGAATAGTAATCATAGTAATCAGTTGCGGGGATTACACTACCTGGTAGGGCGGTGACGGCCATGGACGGCTGAGGACACCACAGTACCACACACGACAAGGTAACGAACCCTTGACTACAGACACGCCCCACGGGCAGACGCACACCTGTACAGACACCCAAGGTGCGACCTAGGGACGACTGACGACAGTTGGACTGACCCCCCAGGTACACACCAAGTGCGTTGAGCCAATACCGGCACCTCACACCTAGGACGAGGTGCGGGGACGGGGGTGGGTGAGATAGGGGACCTGGGGCCGACTCCTGGTTGCGGAACCTGACCAGCACCGGGACCTGACTCCTGACTGGCCCTCGCTCTCAGTCCCCACCTCCTCTCTCTTTCTTTTACTTCCTCTCTCTCTCTATTACACTCTTCCCTCTCTCCCTACGCGCTCCCCCTTTCTCTCCTTTACAGCTACCGGTTTTCCAAGGACGATGGCAGGTCAATTTCAACGGGCGGATCTCTGCTTGTGGTCGAACAACGTTCGGGGCCTTAACGCCCCGGAACGGCGCTCGCACCTTCTTCGCACCCTGTGGGCGGCACGCGCGTCTCTAGCATTCGTCCAGGAAACTCACTTCCAGGGGCGAACTGCACCGGCACTGCGAGACTCCCGCTTCACGACGGGATACTTTGCCAACCACCCACATGCCAAAAAGTCGGGGGTGGCAATTCTCATAGCCCATACAGTGCCTTTTCAAAGCCAAGCTGAGCTGGCGGACCCAGAAGGCCGCTATATATTCGTGAAAGGCACGATCGCCGGACATCCTTATACCTTGGCATGTGTCTATGCACCCAATACGGCACAGCACCACTTCCTGACACGCACCTTGCATGCCCTGGAACACTTCAGAGAAGGCTTGCTGATCCTGGCGGGGGATCTTAACCTAGCCCTGGACCCACGGCTAGACACCTCCTTAGGAACTAGCTCCCTACCGGCTTCCTACCAACGCAAGGCCCTTGTGGCCCTTAAGAACGCGGGGTTGGCGGACTCGTGGCGAGTGGCTCACCCACTAAGGAGGGACTACTCCTACTACTCTGCGGTCCACAGTCGCTACAGTCGGTTGGACTATATCTTCCTCCCCATTGAATACCTCTCGCTCTTGCAATCCAGTGGGATCCACACGGCAACCTGGTCGGACCACGCTCCGGTCTGGACTAAGATTGCCTCCCCGCTGTACAGGCCACGGGAGAGGCAGTGGCGGCTCAACGAGCAGGTCTTGGAGGAATTGGAGGCGACGGTGGGGATGGGTGACGCACTGCAGAAGTACTTTGAGGAGAACACCAACCCAGACGTGGAACCATCGATGATATGGGAGGCTCATAAATGTATGATCCGCGGCCATCTCATACGTTATTGTACCCAACGGAAGAAGGCCCAAAGGCAAGCAGTCACGGACCTGGCACAACAAGTGGCAACCCTCGAAACCCTACATAAGTCTACCCTATCAAAGGATACCTACAGAGAACTCCTGGAGGCGCGGAGAAACCTCAAGCAATTGCTCTCGCAGGGCCTTCTCCGAACCATTCGCAGATCCCGACGACACTTCTACGAATACTCGGACAAATGCGGGAGGCTCCTGGCCAGGCGCCTGCAAAGGGAACGGAGACTCACACACATAACCAAGATCCGGGACCAGACTGGTGTGCTCACTCAACGCCCAGACGGAATAGCGACGGCCTTCCACCATTTCTACACGGACTTATATAACATCCCAGAAACGCGAGGTGCAGCAGCCCGGAAGAGGCGGGAAACCGAGATCGCGCACTACTTGGAACAACATATCTCCCGGACTCTTACGGACGTCCAAAGGACTGAAATAGAGGAACCCATTTCCCTGGAGGAACTCAAATACGCTCTTAAGATAGCCAAAGCCCATAGGGCACCAGGCCCGGACGGCCTCCCCACGGCATATTATAAAAAGTTTCAAGACATCTTGCTGCCACACCTCCTGGGAACCCTGAATCACCTACTAGAAGGCGGCCACCTCCCGAGAGATACACTGGCTGCCACTATCTCTCTTATCCCAAAAGACGGGAAGGACCTGACGAACTGTTCCAGTTACAGGCCGATCTCCTTACTCAACTCTGATTTGAAACTGTTCACTAAAATACTGGCCTTGCGGGTGGGGCGCGTATTGCCGGACCTGGTGCACCCGGACCAAGTGGGATTCATTCCCGGCTCCTCTCGACCGACGCCGAGAAGCCGTTCGATCGGGTGGACTGGGGGTTCATGCTGGCGACACTCCGTGCGATGGGATTCGGGCCCCACATGATGACCTGGATAACTGCCCTCTACACGACACCAACAGCCCGTATGCGCATCAATGGGGCCCTAACACAGCCAATCAACATCCGTAATGGCACGAGACAGGGGTGCCCGCTGTCCCCCCTCCTGTTTGCCCTCTCCCTGGAACCATTCCTGGGGGCAGTCGGACGGGATGGGGGAATCACGGGCCTCGCCTATAAAGGTCTGGAGCAGAGAGTTGCGACATACGCGGATGATCTCCTCTTCTTTCTTGCCAACCCACTCATCTCTCTCCCGAACCTACTAGCAAGGTTCCGGGAGTACAGCCTGCTCTCTAACCTTAAACTCAATGCTGAGAAATCGGAAGCCTGCCCTTTAAATCTAACTGCCGCAGACACGACTCACCTACGGACACAGTACCCATTTAAGTGGTGTGCGGATAAGCTCAAATACCTTGGCATATGGCTCACCGGAGACACGACGCGTCTATTCCAGGAGAACTTTGTCCCCATTCTCCGCACACTACAGCACGACATGACGACTTGGGGCGGCCTGTGCATTTCATGGTTAGGGAGAATCAATGCCTTAAAATTAAACCTTCTCCCTCGACTTCTTTACCTCTTCCAGACCGTACCAATCTTGATACCCAGGACCTTCTTTCAGACGCTCAATACTGCGATGATAAAATTTGTGTGGAAGACGGGACGACCTAGGGTTAACGGGGCGCTCCTGTCTCTGCCCAAGAGGATGGGGGGCTTAGCCCTCCCTTCACTAGTTCATTACTACAGGGCCACCCACCTGCTTCGGCTGGTGGACTGGCACACACTAAACTCAGACAAGCTCTGGAGGGAACTGGAGAACGTACAAGTGGATCGAAGGCTGCCAGCCGCGGTATGGACAGCACACCCCCTAAGGGACCCCAGAATGACCCTCAACCCGTTTATCCGGGCTACGACGCAAGTTTGGGTTGCTACTCGCCTCAAGGATGGACTCACTACAACGCCGGGTCCTCTGACTCCTATCACCCATAATCCAGATATCGCGGACGGACTGCAACCTGGGGATGTGTTGGGACTCGGGGACCCGGACTGGACATACATGAAACAACTATGCTCAGCAACGGGATTGAGGGAACTGATCCCAGATGGCACCGTCTCTCTAATGACCAGGTTCCGCCATCATCAGATCCAGCACTTCTACACCTATTTCATCGAGCCTTTGAGCACATGTGCGCGGCCAGGGACCGACCACTGAAAGGAATCACACGACTCTACACCCTACTGCTCACCGCCACACCACGCGCACCACCACGATATATGTCCCGCTGGGAACACGCAACAGACCAAACAATAACAGACCAACAATGGGAGAAGATCCACGTGCTAACACACCAAGGCACGCTCAGTTCAAAACTGCAGGAACTTAACTACAAGATTATGGTCAACTGGTATAGAACCCCAGCGAAACTACATCGCATGAACCGAGAAACTCCTGACGTATGCTGGAGGTGCGGAGCCGAGGGTGGGTCAGACTACCATATATGGTGGTCGTGCCCTACAATCCAGCAGTACTGGAAACAAATACATTCCAAAATTCAGAGCATCGCGGACCCGGACCTACCGTTTCAGCCCTTGCCGATGCTACTCCACCACACCACACGCCCTATAGCCACATACAAACGCTCCCTGACCAAACACCTACTAAATGCAGCAAAATCTCTCATCCCCACCAAATGGTACGCGACGGAGCCACCGTCGATGGAGCAATGGATGGAACGTGTGGAGGACATATACAGTATGGAATCCCTCTCGGCATCGCTACACGGCACGGGAGACAAATGTGCTACCACCTGGCTCCCTTGGTGCACCTATATAGCCCAGGGATGAACCGCAGCGATCAGGGACGGCTGCCACTAGGTAGCGGAGAACCAGGGAAGCTCTTGACCCGCCCCCCCAGTGATCATAAGAGATACAGGAACCCGCCTACCAGCCTCCCCTCCCCCCTCTTTTTTTTTTTTCTTTCTTTCTTTCTTTCTCCTTCCCCCCAGTCAGGAGGTCATTGGCATGACTGTGATGGTCAGGGGATGCGGGGGATAGGGGGAACCCATGGCCCGGACGGGGGATCTGGTGGGGGGCTTGGGAGAGAGGGACAGCTCGTAGAGCCAAACCCTGGATTGGGAATACACTCAGGTCCAACGGGGGGGACAGGCGGACATCCCACACTGAGCACCCTGACCAACTCGACGGGTACACAACCATATCAATCCTGACGCGGCAGACAGGGTGTTGACACGCCCCACCCAGCACCAGTGCTCCTGCGGCTCCTCACGACTGTCCACTAGATCGGCCCCTTAATTAGAGGACGCCCTCCTAACCTGACAAACCGGAGAGAATCCCCACCAAGACACCGACCTGAACCCCGACCTGCGCTGACCAACACACTTCGACTATATACATAGCTTACACTCTTGCATACACATGAGAAACCAAGAGCCAAGAAGGGCGCTCTACCAGGTTGACAGCCCAAAACTAAACGCCTCATTTCACAAGGGCGCTCATGTAGGGCTTGATACAGTTCGCTAAAAGTTGCATGTTACTATTATTTTCTACCCAAGGTAACTGACGAGAGCATTGATATGGGAGGTTGGATATTTGGCTATA